GAAGGAAACTCGGGTCTGGAGCAGAGTCTGTCAAGGCACTTGCCTGTGTCATTCTTTGCCGTCCGCCGAGTTTTTGACCGGTCGGTTGAGTAAGTAGTAGCTATTCCGCTTTCCTTCCAGGGAGTCTTATACATGTCGTTGATCCTTACGAAATCGTGAGGATCTATCGAACGTTGACTTTTGAACAAATTATTATTCATGAGTTTTCTATTTCTATATCGTTTCACTGTTTCTGTTTTTAGAACTACTTTATCCCGGACATTGGTGAAATTTTGTTGCTTGCAGAAAAGTTGAAAAATGAACGTTGAGTCTTTTTCGAAACTTTTTAATTACCTAACTTGGAACTATTTTCAATATAGATACGCGTTGGTTGGACGAACCATGTCCATTATGTTACACCTTTGTAGAAAGAAAAGAAATTTTTGTAAATTTTAAAGTTCATAAGGATATTTCTTGCTTTGTAGTTTTATACGCTTTTGCTATTAAATATGCTGGCTGCATAAAATTTACGAATGATTGCAGCGCGTCTCCACCGTTTGCTAAAAATGATAGATGTCCTGTTTATGAAACTGTTGTATCGGTTTGACGTCTGAGCAATTTTGGTGTAGTAAAAACGTAATTTTTAGAATAAGTTTACTGGTTATGACAATAAGATATTAACGGAAGTCTTTGGAAGTATTAGTATAGACCCTCATTCCCTTAATCATATTGCAAAGTCCAGCAATTTGTCACTTTTGTCTCTGGTACTGAATCATTTTAGATACTGCCTAAAGTAAAATGCTATGAACCTACATCTCACCTAGTTTCGAAATGATAACCGGGTTGCGTTACCGTTCCTCTGACGTAATGATGATTTTAGTGCAGTCTGCCGCTCGGGTAGCTTTTTGCCATTTAACTACTTTCGTAGCAAGTAACCTCAGTCATACCGAAGTCCGCCATATCATACCAGATTTTTAATCAACTGTGCCAGAAGTTTTTAAATGCGGACTCGAGTGGGTTGTCTGTGACAAGTCTTAGAAGTTTGAAAGGATCGTGACTCGGCTTAGGGCAATTATTTGTTAAATGTATTATGTATTGAATATCAAACAAAAACAACCTATCGAATTTCTCTATAACGGTATTGGCCAGGCTTATTGCCATATATAGTTTGAGAATTGTATGGCAAAGAGTTTATTTGCTGGTGAAATATCTATCGTTTATCACTGTTAAACAATATCCCTTGAACATTGGTCAGGGCCGATCTGAAGCATTGGCATTATGTTAAATGCAGATGGCATGCAGTAAACTTTTCGAAGGCCTTGACAGTGAGGTACTGCAAGAAAAGGTTCGCAACGTTCATTATTCGTTTATTAATATGTATAATTCCTCCGTTGAATTTGCTCTGGTATATTGCATAACTATTTTGTATGTATATACAAACAGGAGTTTCAACAATGCACAGCTCGATTGTGTTTGAGCGTCTTCATTGTATATTTGCATCTCAGCTGATTTCATTCGTTAGAGCAGTCACTTGTTCATTACTAACGATCCATGGGAAACTGATTTTGTTTATTTGCTCTCTTGCTTTTCATTATATTATTATGTCAGTGTTTACAGAATTAGGCCAGTCATGAACAGAATTGGATACTGACCCTGACTTGTCTAGTTTTGAAAAATCGTTGTCCATGCATGAGTTAGTTTGTTAGCAAATAACGAACATGGCACGTTTATTGTGCATTTTTGTTTTCATGAAGTTTTGCTTTCCGTGATATAAAACCATTTTAGAATTTTTTTCCGAAACCTGCTACGTGCTTGTTGTTTGCTACTTCTTCAAGTGCGTCTTATCCATCGTTATCTCAGTCTATTAAATCTTGAGTAATCAAGATTTGTGATTTCTAGCTATTTAAAGTGGTATTTTTTATTTATGAAAGGCAGCGCTCGCGACTTTTGCCAAGGTCATATTCTTAATCGCATGTTTGCCTCCACAAGGGTTTTCCTCACAAAAGCTGTGGCTAAGTCATTGATTTCGCTTAATTTTCTTGAGGCGATTACATTGCACCCCTACATCATAATTGTGTACCACAGACGTTTCTTTGACAGCTTATGTAGCAATGTTATGTTGATTATGTTTGAAAAATTTACCTATGCAACCGAGAAGCGGCAGTTCAACATTTTCGAACGAAGTGTGTTAAATACATTCAACGTATAAAGGTTATAGGGCTCGTAACAACGGGACATAAATCTAATATTTCTGAAGGCACATTCGAAGCTTCTTGTTTGGAATCAGGTAATAGGTCTTCTTCGAATCCAGAAAATACATGTAAATGATCTGGTGTAGGGCAGAGATTTGGGTACAGGTGTTTCGGCCTGACCTGAAGCCACGTTGATGTTCTTGTGTCTTGAGTCAATTATTCTGCTGACCTGGTTTATAACACTTGCGTAGACTTTTCGCGGGACGCTTAGTATAGTGATGTCCCCGTAACTTGGACATTGCTTATTATTTTCCGTTATGAACATGCATGCTACAACAACTCTTTACCTGTGCTTCGATGTCTTCTCCATAGTCATTGCAGTTTGACAGACACGTGTGGGCTACGAAATGTCTTGTTTGCCTAGAGTTGCAAGCATTTAAAGGCGAATTTCCTCGATTCCTGCAACTTTGTCGCAGGCGTTGCACATCCTTTGTGACTTCATCTACTGAATGATAAATATCCGTTATCTGATGCAGTTAAGACGGGTCTCTCTGCGCTTTCTCAGAGTTAAGAAGTTGCCGAAAATGCTCTTGCCAGCGTCAGAGTAATTTTTTGTTTGTAAGAAGGTATTTGGACGTCTTTTTCTCCTTTCCACCTCGAAGGCAACGGATGGTCTGCCAAAATACTTTGCTTACCGTACGGAAATCCCCCCCCCCAGCACTTCACCGACATTTCCCTGAATCAGCTTTCGCATTAGCATTGCTTTATTTGCCACCATACGTGCTTTTTCGTACCGCATCTGAGTTAAAAACTCTCTCGTTCCAAACCGCTTTTTGAATGCATCCATTTTATTGCTGACAGCCATTTGAACCTCTTATGTCCACCAGGGAGTTCGCTTCGGCTCTCCAGACGGCAGTCCAATGCATTTTAAACAGCAGCATTCAGCGGCAGCCTAATTAAGCCACTTTCAAAGAACTTCCACTCGTATTCCACGTCGGCAATCATCAGGTACATTCAATCCGTCGTCTGGTGTTGTTTGCTAATTCCGCTCTCGTATCCGCGGAAGATAGCGTTTCTCATTTGATTATGTGACTATTTTCAGGCTGAACCAGAGTCATTTATGTGACTGAGATATATCATACAGGCTGCATGTAAGCGTGTCACCATCGCGTTGGTTCCATGGCATGAGCGACAAGACTCAAATTAATGTCATGGATTAGGATATGCAGAATTTGACCAATTTATGCTTTATTTGCAGCATCAGCCAAGGCGATTTCCCTTGGTATCCACTACTCTTCTTTGACTTCATTAAGCGCCTATGCTCGATATCAAGAATGGCTTTACGGAAATGTTGAATTAATCGGCACTGTTAGGCTGATGACTTGCTAATGAGAGTTAAATGACTAACTACAGATATTTTTTGTCTGAGACCACAGAGCTACACGTTACTTAGTGTGAATTTTTAGAGCTGGTTACTTTAGCGCGTTGACATTTCCGCCGAACCTTGTCGTTCTGTTCTAAATTGAGTTTCGGTGCCCGTTGTTGCCTCATTGTCTATGTCTTTGCTTGGTGATTGACGGTAGTACAGTTTACACCCGAGTAACTGTCGTTACACTTCCTCTCCCTCC